ATTACATAATTACTAGCAAGTGCAAATACACTGCCAAGTAAATAACAAAACAAGAGTGGGGACAGTAGAACTTTCGGTCAGTAATTAGTGAGGGAAATTAGTTCTCTTAAATGTGTTAACCTAATGTAAGAGTAGGTCTTTAAAATCATTCAAATACAAATGTATGAGTGCCACTAAAATTTGAATCCATAACTTCATACAAATTATTCAAATCTCTCATTACTATTATTCCTAGCGGTTTAAATATGCGAGCGCATATAAAAATTAGAGTAAATATCATTTTTGGTCCTCAGCAAATTTCATGATACCCGTTTTAGTCCCTAGCAAATAAAAAGGCCCATCGTGGTCCCTAAAAAATTCAAAATAGACCCATTTTAGTCATTTAAGGACTAATATAAGTCTTTTTCGAATTTGTGAGGGATCACGATTTCAACTAAATGGATCCATTTTGAATTTCTGAGGGACCACGATGGGCCTTTTTATTTGGTAGGGACTAAAGCGGGCATCGTGAAATTTGCTGAGGACCAAAAATGGTATTTACTCTAAAAATTAAAGCAAAAGTAATTTTGATTCTTTCAGCTTTCACCATTTTTTTTTATACATGAGCTTTCACCAATTTTCAATTTGGTTCTTATAGTGTCCCCTCTTCAATTTTAGTCCTCATTCTTATAAAAAGTTTTCAAAGTTAATCTACTAAGTGTTCCTTTATTTAATATGTGCTTTTTAATTTTATTTTCTTAAAAAATAATCAATACCTACTCCTCTATATGTATTTATTTTCCTGCAAAATATCTTATAATTGTCAAGCAAATAAGAGAACTCATGGCAGATGATTATTATTAATGGGCTGAACTAAACTCAATATCTTAACATTTTGGTTTGACTCATGGTTTCTCTCACTTATCTGGATCTCATTTAATCCGTTATCAATCAATGAGACTCAATCACACTATTTCAACAATAATGACTAAATTGGTGGATTTATTACGAAACTAATTATAAAAACTGTTTTCAAAATATTTATTAATTGATTTTGAAAAGAAAGAAAAAGCTATCAGACCTAATTATTTTTTTTAAAAAAAGGGAAACGGTAGAGATTATCAAAATAATTTTTCTGTAGAAGAAAGTTTGAAAGCATATCATCATTTAATATATTTTCTCAACCCACATATAATATATTACATTGTGAAGTGAATGCCTGTAAATATTTGTCCTCTTGTTGTATCATTCAGCCGAATCGTGATCATTTAACTTTATTGGGCGTGCACATTATGGATGTTTTTAAAAAAAAAAAAGAAGATACTGTATTTGTGTTTTTGTGAGTGTTATTTTGGTTGTCCTCATTCCACGAATTCAGACACAAAACTTTATGTCTAAGTTAGAAATGATATCATCAATGACAACCCAATTTGTAGGTGGACATATTTGTTATAGTAATGAAATCATTTCTACATAGGAACCTCCTATTCAGCATCTGAATCAACTTTGGATTATCAAAAGTTTACAAGTCCTGGTGGTGCAAATAGAAGAATCACCTGCTTACTTGTTATGTTGATGGGAGAAATTTTTTAGTAAACCCAATTATATCATATACACTTAAATTAACAATCGACATGTGTAAGAATGCATTTTAGAGAATAATATCCACACAACATTACAAATATAAAAACATTCTTTGAAGTTAGTGATAGGAACATATGATCCCGACTTCATAATGGAAATGTGAAAGTTTGATGGCAAATGGGTGTATCAGAGCGCATGGAGAATATCTTTGATAGTTAGTTACATTTTTATTTTTTTTATATTTGGAAAAACTTTCATTACTTTTGAATTTTTTTTCCCGTCACATTATAAATTTTTGTAAATTAAAAAAAAAATACCGAATTCAATACATCCAATCTGCCAAAAATATTCTCCATCGGATAAATGTGCACATTAAATATTTGTTATGTTGAGTGCCAACGTTTCCATTTCCATTAATATTTGGAAACAGATTTCAATGACAATTAAATAATCCGATGGAAGCAACTAGACAGATAGACTGATTGGGCCTAGGTTACGTGCACGTTCTAAGCTTAAGATATTAGAGTTTAAGATCCTTTTTTTAAGTGGTCAGTTAATTTACTACTTCGTTAATGTACTCGAGGATAAGGGATTTCACGTTACCTTACGAAAATTAATGTTTTATTTCTCTTTTAATAAATATTCACAAATATTAATAGGTCTATTTAATATTTATAAAAAAATGGATTTAATATTTTTTATGTTGTAGTAAATAAAATTATATCTTATATATATATATATATATATATAAAAGTGTATGAAATCCATATAGGACCATATAAAAAAAAGAAAAAAAAAATATTAACATCATACAACATGAAAAATATTAAACCTAAAAAAAATATATACATAATTTCATGTAATCATGACATAAAATTAACACACGAGTGAATTTACTATCATATTTGCATTATCAGAATAAAGAAAAAGATAAAAAAATATGTAAATAAATTTTATTTGTTTCGAGATTATATATAAAAAATGGGTACATACTTTTTATAATCATATAAAATTAACACATGAGTGAATTTACTATCATTTTTCATTATCAAGAAGAAAGAAAAAGAAAATATGTACAAGAATTTTATTTGTTTCGAGGTTATATAAAATAAAAAATGGGTTCATAACTTTCCTTGAATCATCTTTTATGAATATTATAAAATTTGTCTAATCATAAATAATTTTAAACATTTAAGATCACGGTTAATTATGTAATATATTCTCTTCGTAATTTTATTTGTTTCCTTTCGTTGTCTTTTCCTTATTCAATCTTATTACATGCAAGCAGTTGACCCAGTGGCCTTGGTGGCACTTCGATACAAATCGTTGATTTTGTTATATTCAAGTTAATGTATAAAATAGGAGACTAAGATTCGGATAAACATCGGGAAAATATAAGATTAAATTTCATTGGAATACAATATACACAATATAGGAAAAATATTTTCTGATGTCGTAGAAGAGTTATTTTTTCCTATTAATAATTTTTCAATTTTCGTGTAATATTTTTTATTTTTTTTTTATTTTTTTAATAAATGTGAATCTCACATAAAATATGTCTATAACATAAATTTTTTTTCTCCTACTACATAAAAAAATCGAAACCCCACAATATATCACGACAATAAAACATGATCAACAAGTCAAAAATGACTAGTTAGTAACAGTGTGACACAACCCAATAGAATCAGCCTTCCCACAATTAATCTCTTATGGGGCAACTTTATTCCAGCTACCAAAGTCAACCTTGCCATCCCAAAATTGGAACCTTCTTACTCCTCCTGGTAGAAATTTGTAGATTTTTCGATAAGATGGAAGAATAACGCTACTTACATATTTACACACAGAAAAATATTTTTGTAATTACTGTAGATAAATTATTTATATTTATTTTCAAAATAATATCGTTTTAGGATTAAAAGATTAAAAATTAAATTATAAAAAATATAATAACCCTGAAATAAATTAAAATTATCAAAACACCATAATTTTTGCCTCAAAATAACATTGTATTGAGCTTACTGCAAATAATTTATCTCTAGTAACTGCAGAAAAAGTAAACCCATTTACATTTACCATTTCAGGGGTTTATATTTGTTATGTAACATGCAAAATAAGATTTTTTTCTTGCACACTCAACTAATATGGAATCCACTAGGAGAGAGAAAAAAGAATATGATACTGCAGATAGCGATGAGTATATCAGAAAAAAAATTATATTTTCTGATACATGAGAAATATAAACTCCATTATTTTATACTATATTCTTAATTTTGATAGTTGATATTTTTTATATTTAATACTTTTAATTTATTAGATATGTAAACTAATTAGATGGGCTTTTAATTTATTATATATGTGAACCAATTAAATGAGTTTTTTTATAGCTAACATGACCAGAGTCCTAAGAACAAAAACAAACAAAACAAAGACAAAACACCAAAACAAAAACAGAAGCTATTGGATCACCAAAGCTCGCAATCTTCTCACTCCAATAAAATCAGTCAAATAAATAAGTGAGCTTTAATTTATTAAATACAAGCAAATTAATAACTAAATTTGATATAAGAATTCTCATTCTTCTTATACAAATGTAAAAAGCTACCCTTTGTATATTTATATAACGTTTATTATTTGATTATCACGGATTTCATTTAAATTTTTTGTATATTTATATTGTAATTATGAGACCTGCTATATAATATATCTGATATTTTTGTCAACAACTAAAATTTAATTAAAGTTGAAGTAGCACCTGAGGCAATACACGGAAATGATTTATGTTTTTGAGATTCAAATTTAAATAACAGTTGAGAAATTGAATACTTCAAATTTATGGACCTAACTATTTGTCCTTCTCTACAAAATGACCCCACCTTCATGTATATGACACAATCACAAGCACTTCAATGCTGCCAAGAAAGTCCCAAATGGGTTCCACCACCAACTCCACTTCAAACCAAAGATGATATCATGTATGCATATGATTAATCATTATAAATGTACCAACCCTCAAACTACACCAAATAATAACCTACATAACTTCATTAATTTCTTTTCATCTTCCAACCTTTCAACTTCTGGGTTCAGCTTCTCATTCTGAGTTTGACACATTCTGTGTTTGCTTTTCCCTCTGTTACCCACAAATGAATACCACAAAGCGTGTCCACAGATTCTTCAAGTTCCGTGCTTTGTTGCTTTCCCTTATCAACGACAACAACAACAATTCCTTATGCTTTGTGAATGGCCAAAACTGACCCTACCCTGAAGCTTTATCTCTGCCATAAATCCCCTTGCTAAATTACTGAACCAAAAAAGTGTATTGACAGGAATCTGTCACTTTCATAGTTAAATAGTGTCCGCATATTCCACCGTCCAAAGTCCAAACAAACCTTGCAACCCTTTCTCTCTATAACTTTCGTTTTCAAATAGAACAAGAAAACCAAAAAAAATCAAATGGTTTCTAAGAACTATAATCATTTGACATGTGCGGTCGTGAACGTGGGTAAAATAATGCAGAGTATTGACTATTCTATACTTTTCTGGCTGTTTTTTGGTGTCTTCTCTTACGTAAACCATGAAGGAAAGCCTCGGATTTAGGATTATACCATAATAACTGTTTCTTCTTTTATTTCCCTTTATTTCTGTGCTTTCTGCACAATATAGTGTTTCAACTAGTATAGGAGGTGATTCATAAGTTGGTGTATATAGATTAGAATCAAACATGTATTCCAAGAGAGAGAACAAGGAGGATGGCAACGCAGAGCATCCTTATGAGGAAATGGACCCTACTGGTCGATATGGCAGGGTAAATCCCCTTTTTCTTTATTTTTATGTCTGCTTTTCTCCTCCATTTCTTGTGGCATTTGTTATGTCATTAGAATTTGGATTATTAGTTATGTTACATGTAGGTGGTAAAAAATAAATAAATCATATTTCCCCCCCTTTTTTTGTGTGTGTCATAGACTCATAGGTATGTTGTTTTGGAAGGGACATGTTTTTTAGTTTGCCAGTTTTATGCCTATGGTTAGTATTGTAAGCAATCTTATTCCATGTGCTATTTTGTTATTAGATTTAGTAACATAGGTAATCTCCTAAAATTCTAGCTTGATGAGAGAAAATGTTGTGTTTTCTAATACTACCTGTGTTATCAATTGCAAATGACCGAGACATCTCCTCTCTTACAATTGACTTGATGTGACAAATTGTTTTGTGTTCTTTGTGATTAATTAGTTTGGAGATGTTCTTGGAAAAGGGGCGATGAAGACAGTGTACAAAGCAATTGATGAGGTCCTTGGATTAGAGGTAGCATGGAACCAGGTCAGACTCAGTGAGGCACTTCGCACACCGGAAGATTTGCAGCGGCTTTACTCAGAGGTTCATCTCCTCGGTACCCTCAAGCACCAGTCCATCATACGGTTCTACACCTCTTGGATTGATGTTGATAACAAGGCCTTCAACTTTGTTACAGAAATGTTCACATCTGGATCGCTGAGAGAGTAACTTCCTTTCCAACTATAAAATTAGGCAATTACTTGAGTCCCATTATGTAGTTCCTTAGAGAAATGGGCATGCAACTTGTTTATTTGATCGGACCTCTTTTAATTTGATCCTGACACTTCAGTATTCAAGTACTTTAATGTTAATGCATGCAAGGATATGGAATTTTAGACATTCAACTCTGCATGATAGGAATATGGAATTACATGCCATGCACTTATGGCAATGCGAAATCATTTGATTTCTTTTAACTTTATATGGTATTTGTTCATGACTAACATAATTAGTCTTTCAAAAACTGTGAAGAACTTAGAAAAATGAATTGCTGCCTCTTATCTATAGTATCTTTCGGATATAGATTATTCTAGCTCAATTGAGGACCAACAGTCATCACATGGATTTTGTTTGATATATTTGAAATATTAACGATTCATATTTAATGGACACTTACCAGGGATAAGAAAAGGAATAAGAATATGATCACGAGCACCTAGGGTCACAGTCCTTAAGCATGAAATTTATATTGCAACTTTCAGGCTTGTTATATGCAAATAATTGATAATTTTCTGGCACATGCAGATACAGGAAGAAATATAAGAGAGTCAGCATACAAGCAATTAAGAGTTGGGCTCGCCAAATCTTACAGGGTCTAGTTTATCTACATGGTCATGATCCACCAGTAATCCATAGGGACCTCAAATGTGATAACATATTTGTCAATGGCCATCTTGGACAAGTGAAAATTGGTGACCTGGGACTAGCTGCATTTCTCCGTGGTTCCCAGTCAGCCCACAGTGTTATAGGTACTTACTTTTCTGCCAATGACTATTGCAGACTTGCAGGTACTGAGAAACTGCTATTATTTTTTGGCAATTATAATTTTCTCCTTTTGCGCTAGGCACCCCGGAGTTCATGGCACCAGAATTGTATGAGGAAGAATACAATGAACTTGCTGATGTTTACTCATTTGGCATGTGTGTATTGGAAATGCTTACATCTGACTATCCATACAGTGAATGTTCTAATCCAGCACAAATCTACAAGAAAGTGACATCGGTAAATTCAGGTTCTGGTGTAAGTTTCAAGATATCAACAAATCTAGGTGTTTTATTAAAAGTAAAATTTCATATTTCAGGGGAAGCTACCAATGGCACTTTTCCGGATTGAAGACATGGAAGCGCGGAAGTTTATTGCAAAATGCCTAGTACCTGCAGCAAACAGACCATCGGCAAAGGATTTGTTGCTTGAACCTTTTCTTGTGTCTGATGATTCGTCATCAACAATAAAGTTTGGTATTCAGAAGCCTTTTTTGAATGACAATGAGATGGAAAAATTGCAATTGAGTGATCATTTTCCTAGGACTGGAATGAAAATAATAGGGAAGCTGAATCCTGAAGATAATGCTATCTTTCTCAAAGTTCAAATTTCTGATAAGGATGGTATGTAATCTTTCCAAAATGCACAATATCCAGTTGGTTCATTTTAAGGAAAATCTTCTTGTAAAGCTGTCTAAGACTAAGTACATGCTTCTTGCAATTTGTCCACAAAACATTTACTTATGTTTTATAAATGAACTTGAGTCTTTAATTGGCTAAAGTTTATAGACCTGTAGTAAACTTCAGCCTGGTGGTTCACTTATAGTTCAAGCCCGCATATTGAAGTAACAACAATTTTTTCTGCTTCCTTTTCCTGCAGGTTCTGTTAGGAATGTATTTTTTCCCTTTGACATTTTCACTGACACCCCCATTGATGTTGCAATGGAGATGGTAAAAGAACTAGAGATTTCTGATTGGGAGCCTTTGGAAATTGCACATATGATTGATGGAGAGATATCTGCTCTGCTACCTCGTAGGAGGCAAAGAAACTGTTCAGATGCCTTCCACACATTCAGTTATCCAGATGATGATGATGAATCTCATCATCGATTCTGCTCCCTCTCTTCAAGTTCATCATTCCAAGAATCAATATTAGATTTAGTCAGTAAACCTGAGGAAGCATCAAATGGATATTATTGGCTCCATGGTATGTCTTCTTTGTCCATTTCCCTCCTACTGCATTTGATGTTGTGAATGTCCTATTTAGTAGCTCTAACAGATTATATTGTACACCATCTACATGGTGGCAGGCTTCTTTAGCAATTCACTTGGTTGGCTTTGTTGGGGAGTGCTATTATGTCCTTGAGGACACAAATAGTTAGCTACTACATGTTTGTTTAATTTTCTTTTGGAAGCCTCAAGCTCGAGACTGAGCATGGTGTTAATAAATCCTACAAATAGTATCGGAGAAAGGAGATAGAATCCCTAATAATATGTCTTCCCATTCACTTCCCTTCTCATTTCAGTTTAATGTTTGTGATTGATTTGTAAGGCAGTCATGGTTTACAGTTTACTATAATCATCTAGTAGGAGGGGAGAAAGTGTTGGTTAACTATTTTTAGTCTCTATGGTAACATGACAAGCTATTATTGTTGCAGATGATTTGCTTGATGATACCAGTTCACGATGCTCTTCACAAGGGACATATTCCAACTTGAATTACTATTCTGTGGATGACCAGGACTACAATGTGGCTTCAATCAGAAAGGATAAACTTCCCATCATAAGGTGTCACAGGAACACAAGGTTTTCCCCCAGTGAAGACTTAAGCAATTGCCACCAGAGTAAAGCTTTAGTAGGATCGCATGATTCTACTAGTAAAAGTAAGATAATGATAGACAATCGTAGACTGACAAGGAACAGATCGTTAATTGATATACGGAGCCAATTATTACACCGATCACTGGTTGAGGAGGTAAACAAAAGACGGTTATTCAATACAGTTGGTGCAGTGGAAGATATTGGATTTCAGACACCTTGTGATGTTTCCAGAAAAAAGTCACAGCCTGTATGTGTTGCTTTAAATGATAACTCTTCAAAGGATGGCAAGGGAGAAAAACTGAAGACGTAAGCATTTAGAAATGAGTGTCTCTTGAGAATTGATAATAAAATAGATGAAATGCATAATCTTCTATTTTTTGGGCTTGAGAAGATGATCAGGTTGATTTATTATGGGGTCATCAGATTTCCAAGGAATGATTTGAAGGAAGTGTTGATATTAAAGGTTGGTCATTAAGGTACTTGAATAATTGCACTACTAGGGGAGTGGGTTCAAATGAATGTAATTATGTATATAGATGTATATGGAGTGTGCTGAACAAAAATAAATGATTTTTTTTTTTTGCGATGAATCAAATCTTCTTGTTGAGATATATAAAATCATTAATACAGCCTCACCCAATAGCTTAAGCTTTTGAGTTGAATTGGTTCTTTACATGGTATCAGAGCCTCATGTCCCGGGTTCGATCCTCGTTGCCCTCCACTTTCTCTTAAGTAGAATTTCTTTGTTCGCACAGGTAGGTGGGCCTGTGCATTGTCCACCCTTCAAGCCTAATGGGCTTTCGTGTGAAGGAGTGTGTTGAGATATATAAAACCATTAATATAGCCTCACCCAATAGCTTAAACTTTTGGATTGAATTGGTTCTTTACACTTCTCAAGGATGCTGGAACAACATGCTCTACAATTTTAATTTTGTAGATGAAAGGATAAGTGGTGCAGCTGGTCAACCAGTATTAAGATCCTCGATGCTAGTGGTTTGTTTTACTAATTGCATTCTCATTTTTGGAACATATACCGATTTGCATGCTGTTGAATATGATTATATGTGAAACCCTTTGTTGTCAGTTATAAAGACTGAAAGAGCCATGTGGCTAAACTTTCCAAAGTCAACACAAGTCCTGTGTAGTTTCCTTTGTGTGCATTGTTACGGTTAAATGAATTTTCTTCATAGCAATCGATTATTGATGTATTGGATGTGATAGTTGCTAAATTTGGCTGAGCATCCAAACGATAGATCAGGGAGCACATGCCTAGTTTCTAGTTGCACTAAATTCACGCTGGACGTTATAGCACCTAGATGAAAAGCAAAAGATCAAAATCATCAAATTTGAATCCAAAAGTGGCATCCTTTGTTTGACCGTTTTGATTAATCCCAAGAATTTACTTATGGTAAAATGAGATTTATAATGATGGACCCCATTTATGACTAATGAATCCTTATTATGAAAGGTGTGGAGCGCTATCACCAGCGTCTGTCTCATTTGTTAGATGCAGCATGGCGTTAATTTTTAGGCTATAATTGTTGATGTGCATATTTGAATAAAAATTATAATGCTTATCCCTTGATCGTGAAGCTTAATAATATTGGGATCTTAGTGGAATGATGATGTTTTAGAGCGTGTTCTTACAAGTGGGAGTAAATTTAATTATGTGCACATTTTATATTAGAAAGGTTGGGGTGACAGAAAAATTTTATATGCTGCTTGAATTATGAAATACGAGTTTATGAACTTCAGTTCCACAGGACAACAAACTTAGGTGGATTGGAGCTTGTTAGAATCTGCACTGAGTCTGTAGATCGTTTTTCTGTATGTATAGAGACTGATCAACTATGTAATTATGCGGTGGTTTCCCAGAAAATTATGTCTACTTGGCTAACTGAGCTGTTTTCTTCGAGTTTGACATGGTCCTTCCTTTAATTATCGGTGGTTCTTAGTGTAATTTATAAGTTCAACATTCATTAGGTTAAAACTAAGTGAGTATCATAGACTCATTACTAGGTTAAAATTGATCCTTTCTTGTGTGAACTCATAGTTGTTATTACTAAGTGGGGTGGCAATATTTGCTAATGCTTGTGAGTATAATTCAGGGTACAAATTCAGTATCAATTGCTAGTGCTCAAAAACAGAATTATTTATTAGAATTTTACCAATTTCAACTGTAATTAACCTTTATCAATAATATTGTCAGATTTTCAGTATTATGTTATGATGGTACAAATAACCAATCTATTTTTTTTTCCTGGTCTATAAACGGCTGCAATTAGCCCCACCTACTATGATATGTCTCTTTTCTCCAGCTTTATGATGCTATGATAGATTATCAATTAATTTGTGATAAATGAATTGTAGGTATTAATAGATGCAAATATTCCATATTCATTCTTATCTGCTTCCAACTACAAACCCAAGAAAAAAGAGGAAAGAACAACTAGCGGAAGATGAAGGGGAAGGAGGGTAAAGAATACGGTAAGAGTTTAATCTAGAGAAGACATATGGTACTTCTATGGGAGCTACCTGTACTTGCCAATAATTGTGGAAAATACTTGTATTAAGGGAAATATCTTCACTGAAATGTTGACCAAGAAACATTTATGCCCACTACCAATCTCAATAATTGTCATAGTTTTTTGGGAAGGCCTATCATATTTTCACGTCATTGAGGGTTATTAATTAGTACGTTGCTAAAAAAGAGAGCTACATTATGAGGACCTTTCATTCCACCTTTCATATGACCTGATATGCAAAGTTGCAAACATCATGGCATTAACGTTGTGCAGTGCTTTTCACTGTGCCCAACGTTTTGATTGACAATGTTTGCTGACGTTTTTTTTTCCATGCCTACCGCATTGATTCATGACATGTCAGCATCCTTAAACTGTATGAGATCACTTGATTCTCTAATTGTTGTTGTTACAACTTCCAATACCATTGTGCAAGGAAATGACAACTTGCTACAAGTCTCAATTTGCAAACCCTTAAACGTTATTTGTGTTGTTGTTGCTTCTTCCAGTCCAAGTTTGATGGTATTTCAGGCATCTCATTCTTATGGGATCACAGAAAAAATCTGGTTATATGGTTTGATGATGCCAGGACAAGCATTAGAAACATTTTGACTCACAAATTTCCTATTTAATGAGGGACTCTAGAAAGAATTTGGGAAGAATAATCATTAAAATACCTATTTATTTGAGTGTTATGAATATCATGTTTTTATTTGAAGAAATACTTATTCATTTTATTTTTCTTAAGTAGCTTCTTTATGCTACAGAACTAACTTTGCCACAATTGGATTAGTTTTTCAAACACCACAACTACATATACAGAGGACTGTTTTCTTTGTTTTTCTGTTTATGGAGTCTGGTATGGCTGGTTGCAACTTAAGAATTTAAAAAACTTGAACTTGGAACACTGGATGGTACCAGCTATTTTTGCATGACAGTCTTTCTACTAATAATCAAGACATAGTTAAATCTTGGGAAAAGTTCACCGATGCCCTTGTGGTTTGCTTTAGAATCACTTATGCCCTTGTGGTTTTTTTTCTATCACATATGCCCATGTGCTTTGTAAAAAATAAGAAACCACAGGAGTATATGTGATAAAAAACATACCCTTTTACAAACCACAGGGGCATATGTGATAAGAAAAAAACCACATGGGCATAAGTGATTCTGAAGTAAACCACAGGGGCATTGGTGAACTTTTCTCTTAAATCTTCAAAGAAAGATATTTAATTCACATTTGACACTATAGAAGAACTCAAACAACTATAACATTGACAACCTTGATATGGAAGTGACAAGGGAATTCAGCAAGTTTTTTAATGATTAATTTATACTTATCAGGTCATCCAGCTACAGATTTTGACTAATAGATTGTTATCACAATCCATAGTAAAACTCTGAAGCAAGTGAGAAGATTAATTATTCTCGACAACAAACTCCTTATTTCAGGTTGTAAAAAATTGAGAATATTTTTTATATGAGGATACCAAATTTGGAGTCCTCCTGATAGTTCAGAACAGAAGTTGATCAAGAGAGTAACAAGACTATCAACATGCATAGATAATATTAAAATCTTTACATTCTGAGCTGAGCCATGTCAAACCAAATTTGTTCAAATGCTTTAACAATGAGATCATGGTATTCCCTTGAATTCAGGGAAAGATAGCGGGCAAGTAAGTCCTCTAAATCTTTTGATGCCCGAATGTTGTTCTCCACAATCATCTCCACCATTGACTCCTTGAAGTCACTCTGTGGATCATATGAGGACTTGACAACAGCAAAGCCATCTGGAAAGTCTGTATTCCTTGAAGCTTTGCTAGCACTGGATGATACACTCCTTCTTGCACAGGCTTGAATTTTTCTGCTTGCTAGTTTTGGAGAATTGACTCTAAGCTTTATGCCTGTTGAATTAGAAGAGGGCTTCCGAGCTATATGACTGCTTTTTCGCCTTCTTTGAGTTCTACTACTTTCCTCTTTGCTAATTTTGATGGAGAAAGACTGATCAGCATGCAGCTCATCCAATTCAGTTGAACTTCTCAACTCAGTGGCTTCAATAACCTTATCATCAAACTTCATTGGCTTTGTCAATATTGGAGCAAGACCTAGCTGTGAAATTGTATCAAAGCCATCCAGCTTTTCAGAATTCCCAGGGAAGGTTTCATTGTTCATGTCAATGATGATGTCATTAGTTGAAGAGCTAACTCTGCAACTGCAATTAGAGGCTATTCCATTAAGCAAGTCAGGAACAGAAAAGCTATCACACTCAGACTCAGAATAGACATATTCATGGTGATCAGATTCAGAAGAACTTTCAATGGAAGACACATCATAGTCTGGTGACTGAATTTGATATGGCTTAGTCCAATTATTTGTGGAATCATAGCTAGAACTGGCTACGAAAGAGGAAGAGACAACATTGGGAGAAGGCTTGTAAATGGTTTTTCTCCTAGCCCTTCTTTTGGATGACCTTCTTGGTGAATCAGTGAATGGTATGTCCAAGTCTTTGGTGTGAATTGGTGTGTTGTATAGCTTACCAGCTCTGGTTGGTTCAGTGGAGAAATAATGTGAATATCTTGACAGCGACCTTTGGGATGTTGTTGGTGAGGACACTTTACTCTTCATAACATGAGAACCATTTCTCTTCCTTGATCTGCTCATATCTTTCAGCTTGTAAAACCAAGCATTTGGTATCATATCTGACAATTTGAACTTGTTGTTACCCATCAGAGATAAGCCTCAAGCACACACACCTTTGCTCTCTCAGTTTTAGTGTTTCTTTATTGTGGTACCTCAGAAGTGTTAGCATTCATATGAGCTGAAATGGAAGATGTATAAAGCCAGAAAACTTGGTTTTTAACTGGAAAAAATAAAGTTGGTGGTCCACTACAAAAGTCCCAGCATGAAAGCTAGGGGACCAAGTTTGTCCACCAAATAACTTTCTCTCATCATTGCTACCAGCAAACATGCACAAAGCTCTTACTGTTTATATTACCACAACTTTATTAGTTTTCTATATTGATGCTTATCTAAGTAATCAATTCAAGAGTAATAAGTGTGATATAGTTGTGCAAGAAACTTCTCGTAACACACACTATTCACCATTTTGCCAAAAGGAGATGCCCAAAAAATATGTGACAATGTGACAATTTTTGTATGGTTAATTGAATTTGAATTTGGAAAATAAATGTCTTTTGACAAAATTTAACTCTAAAATGCCACCTATTGACTGCATTGGCTCAATTGTCACACCATAAATTTTATCATCCAAGATACATAGTATGTTATTATAATCCTGTTAAAAAGTTGCATGCTAAAAGCATTTTATGGATCATGGGCATTTTCATCGTGGGACTACTCTTGGACTCTGATGTTGAAGTCTCTATGCAGTGTTTAGAAGAAGACATTATTACTCTATGCAATAAGATTGCATTCCTTCCTTGCTTACGCATTTTTTCTTTGTTTTGTCTGGACTGCTATGCGTGCCAACATTTTTGCTGGCAATTGAAGGATTGAAAATCATGATCTGGTTCTCCACGCTATGTCTGGTGTATGTGTATATATTTGACCTTTAACAAGTAATCATGAATTCAGCAAACATATGAGCCCCATTTATAGGTGCTGATTCATTTATTCCCTAATTCTTGGCTTTATGAATGATGGATTTCTTTGCCTTTTTATCCATAACCCCCCACATGCCTAGTGCTGCCTTAACCATCTTTCAAAGTATTAGATTCGTTTTTTTTTTTTTTTTTTCTTTTTCTTTTATGTTGTTTTTATTAAAAAAAATGAGTAGCACCTTGTCATGTCCAGCTACTATTGGTCATGGGCAGATAGCATGTCCTCCACTTACAGGCCCAATATAAGCCTATAGTTTTAAACCCATTAACATTCCAAGCTTCGTAAGCCCAATCTAACCCGTTTAGTGAACTATGTAATGTCATAAATATTGATCAACTTATATTGCGATAGTAATTAATTGTTATCAAGGAATTTTAATTTAACAAAAAGAATTTATAAATAGAACCTTGGAACAGTTGGTAGCAATATTATACCCCTCTTATTGATTTAAGAATTCACTCTTTTCTTTTAATCTGATTTCCAACTAATACATTTCAATTTTTTTTCTTCCTGTTTTAACATTTAAATTTCAATCAATGGTTAAAGACTAAATAGTTCCCCTCTTTCTTGTTTTGGAGTTGGGCGTAAGTTAAATCCACTCCCACGACTGTATGACCATGCCTTGTATGCAAGTGATTAAGCTTGTTTTGACAAGTCAACATTTTATTTTAAGCCCAATATTTTTGGTCAATGAATCCAATTTTATAGCCCATTGAGTATTGGGCCTATTTCCAATAATTTGATTTTATAGCCTAGTTAAGCTGCCTTTTTTATTTTTTATTTTTTTATTTCTCCATTTTATTCTTTTCCCCAATTTCACTGAAAAGTAACTTTGGTAGTTAAATATAATGATTTCACTTGTCTCATATCTACATATATTCTCTTTGTTGTGTCCATTAGCAACATGCCATGGAAACTAAATAAAATAAGAGACAATAATCAAGATAAAGCCGAAACTCCTTTTGGTCACCAACTCCACTACCTCTAATAATCGCTCACCTAATTGATCGATCTCATGGTATAGAAGCTAAACATTTCCAAGAAGATTATGAGCTCATTTATTTAACTCTTTCCTTAGAAAATAAAAAATACTTTTATTTATAAAATATGAAACATATTATGATAACTGAATAAGTTTTTCATAGAAATAAAAATTCAAAATAAATTAGTTTTTATTAATTTTTTTTAAAAAAGTTAGCAAGACTAACTTGTGCAAAAAAAAAAAAAAAAATTCACAAAAATAAGCATAGCTTAAATCAAACATACAATGTATCGTGTTATTTACACAATTTTTCATCATACTTTGTACATATTATTGTAGAAGTCATAGAGTAATGCTGAATTGTACTATATTTTTAATTGAATTCAGCATATACTCATATATATGCAAGAGAAAGGTAATATATACGTGGTAAAATATTTAAGTGAACTACTATTCAATTTTTTATGACTTTTGATGTATTTTGTAACCATCACATTTATAGTATATTTAAGTGTACTTAATCCTTTATTATGTATATAGTCTTATATAAAGACATAACTTTTATTCTTTTTTGTCTTTTCTCTTATTTCTCTCACTTGTCTTGTAACATGTATCCCTCTCATCTCTCCCTCTTAATTTTATAACAATATAAAATATATGCATTTTCAAATCAAGGTTATGGTACAGCTAAAGACAGCCCTGCTTCTCTTAACGCGTGCAGTGTGTGGGAATAGTAATACATCCATGCTATTGGTATGCCATTTTTATTCAATTCCATAACTCAAAGACGTGAAACCCACACTCACCAGTCACCAACTTGGGTCTACACAAGTAACACAACTTATTAAAGACCTCAAATCCTCTCAATGCACCAATATAGACTTCCCCTCTCTCTAACTAACCAACATCACTCTCTCTCTCTCTCTCTCTTTCTCTCTCTGAGTTACAACAACCTTGGTTTCAACAAACATCCACTTCTCTAAGAGTAATCAGAAGCAAAAAAGCCACCATCCTAGTAAAGTACACTCAACTTTCTTCAACAACACTCCTCTCTTAGTTACTTATTAGAGATGAAAGGCAAAGCATTGGGTGTCTTTAAATCCAAGCTTTTCAAGCCATGCAAAAAACTATTATTTTTCTTCAGATTTAAACCCAAGAAGCCTGTGTTTATAAGAGCTCTTAAATCCCGTGTTCACAAGTCCAAATTCCCAAAGGCCTTCCCAACAAAACCAATGTCTTCTTTTTTATCATTGTTTCGTTCCCCAAAGAAATCTAAAGACATGGAAACGGTGGATATATTACAAGACCTTAGGAGTCCCTCCAAGGTGCATGAAACTCCAATCTTTCCATCACCACTTACCCCTGCTTATGGAAAGGCTCATGATGTAGACAAAAGGGAAGCTTTGAACCAAGACGTGGAAGATGCATGCAGGAGTTTTGAGAACTATTTGGTGGAGATGATTGTAGAAGAAGGGAAGACAAGGGACTTGTTGGACGTGGAAGAACTTCTATATTGCTGGAAGAATCTTAAGTGCCCTGTCTTCATTGATTTAGTTTCTAGATTTTATGGAGAGCTCTGCAAGGACTTGTTTTCTTCACATAGCGAGGACCAAGAATGCTCCAAGTGAAGGCCTAAGGAGCTAGAGTGAATGAGTAAATAGATACTGAATTTCATTATTATTTTTACTTTTGTTTTCAGTTTAATATTCTCATAAAATTGGATGTATGCAATTTATGAATGCCGTTTATATGAAACATTTTACGAAACAAACTCATCGAATTATTCATCCTCAGTTTTAAGGAAATAATAGACTGTTCTCAAGTCTCAGCACTTATGGTTATAGCTATGGAATTCTCCTTATGTAGATCCAACTCTTGATTTGGTTTGAAACATGGAACTCAGATTTTGTTCTTTTTATCATTTTGGCAATAACTAAGATTGTTATTTAGGATGAAGGTTTAAGACTTGTTGTATATACTTGGTAATATGAAAGCAAACATGAAAGTAGCTGCAATTTGACATTTTTTAAAAATACCAAATTCTTCTATTCTATTATCCTTTTGAATCTGAAAAAGGATAGCATTTTACAAAAATGCCAAGAATAAAGTGTTCCACCATTGATGAGTTATGACCATGAAACAGATTAAAGTGAATCCATGAAAGGCAGTTTTAGTTAAGCATCTATTTACAGTTTGTAGAGAAATTTGAAAGGGAAAAAGAAAATACAGTGCAGTAAAAAAAACTATAGACCATGGTAACTATCAGATATATCAGGTCTCTAATCAATAGGAAAGATTACAAACATAGAGCTGGTGGATGGAGGTTCTAGCATAACCTAGTAGTCATTGTTATCTTGACTAGCTAAGGTACCATTAAAAGAACTCTAGTACAAAAATTTATGTGGTTCTGTTAGCTGAATTATACCAGTTAAAAGGGCCATAACCATTTAGCTTGAAGGATGTTGTGAGATATAAACTCGAGACTTCAACAACATTTGTCCATTTCTAAACCCAGGCGTGATCATAAACTGAACTTTGTAGGTGGCTCGTTCTTCGTCTGAAAGAATTGCACTCTCCTTTTCTTCCTCAACAGATTCCATGTACAAGCTGGAGAACATGCTTCCTCTGTTCACAGAAAACAGGGTTGCATCAGTATCTACTGAAACAGCAGATCCTAGTAAAACCCAAACCCATTTTGCCATTTTTGCAAATAATTGATAGAATTGTGTTCTTGGATGCTTGCCACTCATTATGAATCTTCGGTGATCCAAATTGCCAAAGAATGACTCTTCCATTTTTGGATGAACAAGAAGAAGATATTTTGCTTGACAAAATTTGGCAAAATCTGAATCTGGATTCTCCATCAGTGCATCAATTGGGTCATCAAACTTCATAATATCACTCACATCATAAGAAGTTAATGCAACCTCATGAAACATTCGGCGTGCAATGTAGGCCTCAAAAGCATACTTCTTATCACGCCTTTTGGAATAAACAGCAGCATTCTCAATGGAGTTTGCAACCCTATCAAGGTCCCAACCTGAAGCTTTCATCAAGCTAATTAATGGTTTTGCAAAATCATGGATGGACTTTGAAGCATCCTTGAAGACATCCTGGAACTTAGTAACACTCAAAATACTTGCTTTCCTCTTTTCCAAACTTATCTGCTTGATCTTCTCTGTCAGATTTTTATTCCCCATCTCCAAATCCTGGAGCTCTTGCCGCAACCGGAGAATCTCGGAATCTTTAGCACTATTTTGAGACTTAAGCTTCCCCAACAATGCCTCTTTTGCTACAATTTCATCCACCAAGAGATCAGAACGTGCAGCATTGAAATGAGCTTTCCTGCATTGTTTCTCCTTATATTCACGCTTGAAGTTGCAAAGCTTCTCAAGCTCAGCAACAAACCAGTCATCAGCTGCAACAATCTTCTGTGGGTCATAGGGGATATGAGCTTGCTGAAGCTGAAGGTATGCTAATTTCAGGGCTGAAACAGCATCAAATATCTTCTTCATGATCTCCAAATCAGCACAGAAATCATCTTTGCTTGGAACATCAATGGGTTGGGGATGGACTTTCTGGTCATTGCATGTGAACTCCTCACTGCTGTTTTCACTCAGAGGGGCCTCATTGCAAATGGGTTTGTGCAAATGATGGAGATTGGGGATTTCAGAGGAGAACACCCCAATAGATTTCAATTTACAAACTTTGGCGAACTTGCATACCATTTCTGATATATTTGAGTTGGGTTTCATAGGTTTAGTGTTTGGGCATTCCATAGTAAAGATCAAACCTTGAACTCATACAGAGCGATCTAACAGTGAACCTTGCTTCAACAAACAAGTAAGCAATTTGCAAGATCTTGAAAAAGAAGAACACTCAAAATACATTTGATGAGATGGTTTTTTCTAGCCACATTGCACACACCCAATTACCCAGCCAGAACCGGGATTCCAGGCAAAGAAACCTGGTAGTGGTGGTATGTAACAACATCCCAGATTAAAAAAATAAAATAAAAGAGGTATTTTTGTAAGAAAAAGTAGCAAAGTTCAGATTTTTCTACGACTGAGAGAAAACACCCGTTGTTGCATTCAAACTTAGCAATATAAAAACACTAAAAAATGCCCAAAAAAAATAAAAATAAAAAAAGAACCAAACCCACCTGAGATTCAGAGCTAAACAGCAATGTGTAGCAAAAATCTCACCGGAAAGTGAAAGTGTAGTTACGACAACGTTGCAAGCTCTCTTGGTTGGAGTTCAGTTCAGTGCTGGTTGGCACCATCTTCTCTTCACTGACATTTTGAAAGTTTGAAACTTTGAGTGAATGCGTGCGTGTCTGCTTCTGTAACAGTAACACTACGTGAGATGCCATAATAAATTATTGAGATTGGTATTTGTGATTTTAAATGACGTTGATAAAAAAAATAAGTAAGTTATGTCATTTTTAAGAGAGAAATAGACAAATACTTAGAATGACATAACTTTGTGTCATTCAAAATGATAAATATTTTTCATTAAATTATTATTATTATTTGATATAAGATATTTTTATTATCAATATTACTATCAATTTGTTTTACCTTAGATTAATTATGTTGATTCAATGATTATATTTATTTTTATATTTAATGTAAAAGTATTAAATATGAGGAATCATAACTATACAAAGATGAAAATAAATATTAAATATAGGGAGAAGAAATAAATTTTTTAGAGAATTAAATCAGAACCTTTGGATTAACATAATCGATCTAACAATTAAACAAATTAATAGTAACATTAATAATAACACTAATTAATAGTAACAATATCCTATCTGTGAAACAAATAAGCATGAGAGCTAGGGGTGTTCGCGGTCTGGATTGGATCGGTTTTGAAAGCAAAAATCATCTGATCCAATCCCTTCGATTTGACCATCTAATCATCCATTCGATTTGAATTTTTTTTCAAATTCGATCTAATCCAATCCAATTTTTTTCAGTTTGGATTGGATCAGTTTTCGGTTTTTTGAAAATCCTAAAATCTGTTTCATAATTATCGTGCAAATAACATCTTTTGTATATATTGGCTTTGTAATTTATTTATTTTTGAAATATAAAAGCATCAATAAACGATAATATAATTTTTTTTTTGGCAATGAGATATGAAACTCTATACGGATAAAATTTTGTTAATAAGATGTGACTAGGTTTTTTTTTTTTTTTATTTAGTTGATGGGTTAATGGGTCTTAGATTTAGAAATTTTTAGGCTATGATTGGGAAAAAGCCCAAATAGGTAGAGGAGAATTAATATATTGGATCGCTTTGGATTGGATCGGTTTTCATCAACCTATCCGAAAACCGCTCCAATCTAATTAAAATTTGCGGGTTTTTTTTCGATTTTTGATTTTTCGATTTATTCGGTTATCGATTTTTTGGTTCGGTCGCCGCGGTTTGAATCGGTTGATGAATACCCCTAATGAAAGCGACGATCAATTGTTTAGGGGTTTATTTTTTCTACAAGTCAATATAGATAACTTATCTACATTGAGTCCAAAATAACGTCATTTTGAGACAGAAATTAAGGTATTTTTGTAATTATAATTTATATCAGGATTATAATAATTTTTTTTATTACAATTTTTTAATTTTTTAACTCAAAACAATATCATTTTGGGAGCAAATATAAATAACCCTTTGAAACATTAAAACCATTGTTTATATGCACTGTGTTTCGAGACAGCGATGGAATCAGTTGAACTGCATGGGGATCCATGAATTTTTAAAGAAACCAAACAAGTAGTAACAACTTCGCGTGCCATATTATTTCTTTATCATTTCATTGTTTTCTTCAAAAACTCAAATCCAACACATTTTTGGTACTACTTCGCGTGTGTTCCTGTCAGTGTTGCTGAGAAAATGTTTCAGTTTTTGAAAGAGTGCAGTTTGAGTTGAGATTCCCGGTTCACTCGTTTTCCCAAACACCCAAAATAATAATTTAATAATATGATAAATAATTAGAAATAAGAGAATGTTACTGTCAATTAGTGTTATTATTAATATTACTACTAGTTTATTTTATCGTCAGAATCGATTATGTTGATTCAACGGTTTTGATTTAACTTTCTAAAAATCTTATTTTTTTCTCTATATTTATTTTTACCTTTGTATAGTTATGATTCTCCATATTTAATGTGAATCATAACCATACAAAGATATAAATAAATATAACTGTTGGATTAATCAATCTAATGGTGAAATAAACTAATAATAACATTGGTAATAACACTAATTGGTAATAACAAGTGAAAAGATATTGTAACAACCAAGTTGTGTTACTACCAAGTTACTACCAATCAATCTCACCGTTAAATCGATTATGTTGATCCAACGGTTATATTTATTTCCATCTTTGTATGGTCATGATTTCTCAAATTTAATACTTTATATTTATTTCTACCTTTGTATGGTTATGATTTTCCATATTAATACTTTCACTTTACATATGGGGAATCATAATCATATAAAGATGGAAAGAAGTATAACCGTTGGATCAACATAATCGATCTAACGGTGAGATTAATTAGTAGTAACATGATAATAACATAACTTGGTTGTTACAATATCCTTCCCCTAATAACAATATCTTATCTCTTTGTTTTGTGACAATCAACCTGCCTAGACATTGCAGCGAATCATATTTTTCATGAATGCACTAAATACATAGAGATTAATTCACTTTCCGCTAGCACATCACAAAAGGCAGTATTCGAACCTTTCCATTCCTTCTCCGGAGAACTTGCTGATATTTTGATAAAGGCTCTTCACCACACTAAAGGTACCAAATAAGTGATCCACAAAAGGATAGAAGAAAAGGTTGGATTAAGCTAAAGGAGAATGGGTTACGCAACTCAAAAATGTTCTGTAGCCATAACAAACCATACATCACTCCTAACGAAACCTTATTTAGATAAAAATACATTATGCCTGCAATAACCCCAGTTGAAATTGAAGACCCAAGCAACCCGAAATATTTCTCTAAAGCTACCAACAAAATACTCAAAGAAGGACTGAATATGAGCTTGATTCTCCTCGTTGTAGTACATTAGTCAAATAATTGGAAAAATGATTAGAATGGAATTTTCAATAGACATAAGATTTCTATTAAAATAAATTAATGGCCCCTCTAAAAATGTTCTAAACTTTTTACACCAAGTAAATTAAGAGGTGCACCCAGTTAGAATTATTATAATTATCTTGGAAAATTAGGATTTGAGTTAGGCTTTGGATTTCTTCTTTAAGTCCATTAGTTTCTCTATATATTGTACTCATTTATATCTATGAAATAAAATATAATAATATACATCTTCATAAGAGATAACTCAGATGCATGGACACACTCATTTTTTCAAAAAATGTGTGTCGGACACTTACATGTTCCGACACGCGGTCAACGCTTCGACATGTTCTGACACGTTTTTTCGACATGCAGTCAACTATTTTCGACACGCGATCAACGCTCCGATACAGTTTTTTTTAGAACTACATTTTATTTTATTCACTAAACATGAAAAAATAATTTATAAATCAATTTTTCTCTGTTATGAATTTGACATGAAAATTTAACAAAGTATGAAAAATTATTTTTGTTTATATTTGTGTTATAAAATTTGAATATTTGATTGGTTATATGACTTATTATGGGATGTTATATGTATTAAAAATATTATGTAATATCAAAACGTGTTCCAACGTGTCAGAATATGACACTTTTTAGAATTAACGTGTCGGTGTATCGTATCGTATCTCGTGTCAGTGTCAGTGCATTATAGAGGGATAATATACATCTTCATAAAGGTTTAAATGAGTCAGGTGAATGGTTAGTGACTATTAGGGTTGGCAAAACGGGCCAACCCGGCTCAACTCGGCCCAACCCACATTCAACCTGTAAAAAACTGGTCGGGTTACGGTTGGCCCGAAAAAATAAACGAGCCAGAAAACTCAACCCAGCCCGACCCGACCCGGGTTAGGGTTGGCTCGCGGGTTGGCTCGGAAAAAAGCTCATGGGTTGGCTCAAAAAAAGCTCGCGGATTAGCTCGAAATGATGCCAGTGGGTTGGCTCGCGGGTTGACTCGCGAGTTGGCTCAAAAAAATTGATTTTTGTGAAACTAGTCTTATTTATGGACTTGTACTAAACAAGTTTAAAGTTCAAAATGTAAGCTTTCATCTTCCACTGATCAAAATTAAGCTAAATAAAATCAAACGGTAAAAAAAAATACTTGACAGCAATAAACATACAAATGGACCAAAATGTTACCCTATTCTTAATAAAATTTATAAGTTTCTAATTGGAAAAGCTAATTATTTATAGGGAAAAGTGTGTGTCATTTTAAAGGATGTAAAGTTGTGTCATTTTAAGAGAGAGAAAGAGATAGATAAAGGAGGAGAGAGAGTTGACAAAAAAAAATAAAGGTATAGGTCCCACCTCTTTGTGAGAGTGAAAGGATGTAAGTTGTATCATTTTAAAGTATAAACATTTTTCCCTTATTTATAAGTTCAAAATATAAGCTTTCATCTTTCTTATTATTATTTTTTAATACAGTCATATTATTTTTTTTTATTTTTTTTTTAATTAAAAAAAAATACACAACCCGCGAGCTGACCCGTTTGACCCGCTGGCTGGCTCGTTTGGGTCTGGGTTGTATCGGGTCGGATTGGCAGCTTATTTAGGCCAACCCAACCCGACTCA